AACACTAACTTCGTCATAGTAATTGGCGCCGCTTTCATGTCTACTTGCTGCTGCTAATAGTGCTTGATGCCATTTATTCAAACTTGGATGAAGATGTTTCTTCCATCTTGAAGAACAACTTTCGTGGTTTCGGGTATTCGGTGGAATGGTGCATTCGTAGAACTCTAAGTATTTTTTGGACACACGAGTCCAAACACCTTCACTTGTTTGAGAAATCCCCCTCACACTATCTTCTGAGATCCATTTATAAGCCTTGCAAAGAGCTTCATCTTCTTTTCGGGTCCAAGCCTTACCTTTCATTGCAGATGAGGCCATTTTTTTTGAAAAAAAATGAAGGAAATATTGAAGGAAATATTGCAAATGAAATGAAGAAATATTATAGATGAAGGAAATATTGGAAAATATATTGAAATAAGTATTGAAAAATTGAAACAAATATTATAGATGAAGGAAATATTAGAAAATATATTGAAGGAAATATTGAAGGAAATATTGAGAAATATATTGAAGGAAATATTGCAAATGAAGTGAAGAATTGAAAGAACTTCACCATATTTATAGAAGAAAAAAATGTTTAAAATAAATTAAAAAAAAAAAAAAAAAAACCAACGGCTAGCTGACTCAGCTAGCCGTTACAGTAAAAAACATTTCAAACTATTAGTGTCGGTTATAACCGACACTAATAGTAGAACTATTAAAAAAAAAAAAACTCTTTAATGCTGTCGGTTTTAACCGACAGCAATAGGAAACATTAAAAAAAAAATAGCCAGCCCTCCAGCCCTCCAGCCCTCTCTGATCCCGTGGGGCTCTCGCAGATTCCAGAGCCCTCTGACCTAGCCCTCAGTTGGAGACGATTTTAGGGCTATTTTAAGCCCTCTGACCCTCTGGACCCTTCGGTTGAAGATGACCTTAGATGATCAAAAGAATTCATGTCCGAAGAACACTCACCTTTTCTAAAGCTTTCACAGAGAGTACTGTCAAACTAACGTGACAAGACACAAAACACACGCGCACACATCTTCACATAATGCATATAGCCCCACTGATTTGGTCTGCACTCTTTACAGCTGGTACGTGTAAAGCTTTTTGAAAGAGTGTTTTAGAAACCCGTGTTTAAGGCACTTCATATACATGTTGATATATATATATATATATATATATATAAGCTTCCATCAATTTTGGATCGTGAGCCATAAGTACCTCTCGTTCTTCCAAATATCTGCACTGCAGCTCTCACTTTTTTTCAAGGGATCCAAAAGATTGAGATTGAAGTGAGACTTTAAACACTACTAGTTGCTCTGATATAGCTGGAAGCCAATACCATTTCCAACCATCTTAATTGATATATGATTTGATCTCTCACGCACTCAAAACAACACTCTCTCTCCCTGCATGATTATTATGGCATAGTAGAGAAATGCTAAAAAAAATAGCTTGTAGACGCGTCAATATTTAGTAATCGTTGATATATGTGTAAAAAATGTAAATTAATTTGTTACTGTAAATGTGAAGTTGTTGATTCATGATTTGAGGACTTGTATTCCAATTAGGATGCTTGGTCATACATAATGATCATCTGTATATACTTAAATACGTAAATTTATGTACGTACATACGTAAATATTTTATGTAGGAGGCCGATATAAGCATATAAAAACTTTTGCCCGTTCCTGTCACAAGCTAGCCACATCACCGTTATTTCTGGTTTCACCAATAATGGTTCGTAGTTTGGAAAGTATTTGCTTCATTTTGTGTTGCTGTGATACCTGTACGTCAATCAGTGTTCTCACGGTTCAATTGAAGCCAGAAAATGAAGGTTCGTGTTTGACTTTTACAGATGGTCCTATATGCATGCAAAGCATGTATGCATTATGAGAATCTATAAGGGTTCCTTGGAAATTTTTCTCTTTACTTTTTATTTTTTTCCCTTTTATGATGTCATATATAGCATTTGATGATCGATCGTTTTAAAATATTCAAATCATAATCGGCTCTCGTTAGAATTTTTTTAAATATATTATTTATATATAAAACTAGATTTTAATCCTTAAATAAGATGAAGTTTAGAAAAATATCTTATACAAGATTAAAAATTGATTTAGTCCCTAGACTCCATTTAATGCCAGTATATGTATTTAATGTCTCTTTTTTTTTATCTATTTATAATTTTATGGTGTTCATAAATAAAATATTAAGATTATATTATGAATTTTAATTCTCATTATAATAAGTATCTTATTTAAGAAAATATTTTCGTAAACATTTTTCGGTACACTTATATTTTTGGTTATTGCCTTATGTGCCACTAATTCATTGTAATATATTTAGGTACGAATATTTCGGTACACTAGTTTGATATAATACATTTAGGTACAAACATTTCAGTACATTAGATTAGTATAATATATTTAGGTACGAACATTTCGGTACACTAGTTTAGTATAATATATTTAGGTACAAACATTTTGGTACACTAGTTTAGTATCATATATTTAGGTATGGAATCTTCGGTACACTTATGTTTTTGTATATTTTCTTATGTGCCACTAATTAACTACAATATATTTAGGTACTACAATAAATTTAGGTACAGACATTTCGGTCACTAATTTAGTAAAATATATTATGATACGGACGTTTAGGTACACTAATATGTGTTGTGGCCTATTTAACTGACAAGGGAGATAGAGGGCACGATAAAGAGAGAGTAGGGATTTCTTAGTATGTATTAGATGTGTGTTATTCCTCCCGTATAGTGCATTTATTTATAGTAGTAAAGAGGAGAGGAATTATTTGTCCTCTAAGTAAATACAATCCTAGTAAGGAAAGAATAACTATTAACCAAATATATCTAGGATTTACACAACCACTCTTAAAATAATATCTATATTAATAGCAACATTGAATATGCATATGTTGCATATGAGAAAGGAATATTATACCGACATTACAAAAAGGGTAGAAAAATGATAAGTTAGGTTCTCATCCCTCATTTTTCTTTTCAGTAATTGAAACCTTATTCCTTTTGTTGATGCACAAAACCGGAGGGGTCATGAAACAACGTAAATCCGATTCTGAATCTGCAAGAAAGTAAAGAACACAAGATGTATCGTGGTTCACCCCCAATGTTTGGGCTATGTCCACATTGATATTGTATTTCTCTGTTTGTGAGAGGATTGTGAGGGAGAGAGAGCTTGAGGTTTGTGAGGGTGAGGAGGCCATTTTATAGAATAAGGGCTCCTCATTTATTACATATTTGCCCCTTAATTTATTACATAATTACATTTGAGTCCCCCGAGTATTTATATAAGATCTAAATACGGAGGCCCTAAGTATGGTACAAACAGTAGTCCCCCAAGTCTTCATTCAAGAGAGTCTTTTGGCTGGAGACTTGAAATTTAGTCCATGTGTGGGCCGAAGTAACTAGATGTCGTCTTAAACTGATACTTGATATGAGGCGGTGCTCAAAGTGAAATGATGCTCAACTAGAAGTAGCACATGTTGCGAGGCTGCTCGGTTTGTGGCTTATGTTGCCTTGGTTGGCTCGGCTTGTGGCATTGAAGGTGAGGGAGTCCCTTTTATAGAACAAGGGCTCGCTCCTCAATACATGAATGATGGGCTAGATTTGATGCTTTCTAATGATGGTGAGGGAGTCCCTTTTATAGAATAACGGTTTGCTCCTTAATACATAAGTGATGGGCTAAGAATGATGCTTGTGACGAGGCGGTTGCTCAGTAGGTGTCGATGCTCTCTAATGATGGTGAGGGAGTCATTTTTATAGAACAAGGGTTCGCTCCTCAATACATAAGTGATGGGCTAAGAGTGATGCTCGTGGCGAGGCGATTGCTTAGCAGGCGGTGATTGCTTAGCAAGCGGCGATGCTCTCTAATAAAAGTAAGGGAGTCCCTTTTATAAAATAAGGGCTCGTTCCTCAGTACATGAAGAATGGGTGCTCTCTAATGAAAGTGATGGAGTCCATTTTATAGAATAAGGGCTCGCTCCTCAGTACATAAATAATGGGCTAAGTCCCCCAAATATTTTTCATAAGGCCCAATTGAGGCCCAATATATGATACATAATGTAGTCCTCTAAGTCTTCAGTCAATAGAGTCTGTTGGCTGGAGACTTCAAATTGAATCCATGTATGGGCCGAAGTAGCGGTTGTTCGGAGGTTGTATTTGTATACCCTGCATTAAAGCTTTGTAGGTGAAGCTTTGCAAGTGAAGCTTTGAAGCTGGAGCGTTTGTAAATGAAACTTTTGAAGCTGCAGCTCTCGAAGCTGGAGCTCTGTAAATGAAGCTTTCGAAGCTGATTGATATGAGTGATGCTCATAAATGTTGACATGAGTGATGCTTATAAATGTTGACATGAATGATGGTCATGAATATTTATGTATGATTGACATGAGTGATGCTCATGTATAATTTTGGAGTACTGGACGTACTTTTGATCACCTGGTTGGTGATAATAGCGGCAGGGTGCCGAATAATTTTGGAGTACTGGATGTACGTTTGATCACCTGGTTGGTGATAATAAAGGGCCTGACTCTTTTGGGCATATGGGTATTCGCCTTCCACATAACATTCCAGCCCATTATTTTGGGCTTGCCGTTTTTTTTTTGTTCCCTATGATGGGGTTATACAGATGTCTCTGAAAGATAAGAAAAATAAATTACATCATTTTGCCTGATAAAGATAATAGAGTTCTTTATCTTCTTCCAATGGTCAACACCATTTTTGTTTTTCTCCCCAGACATCTTTTTCCTTTTTATATTCCTTTTCTTCCCATTGCAGGTTTTCATCATGGGGTTTGGTCAGTAGGCATGATCTGCTCCCTTTATTCCTTGCTTTTCAGATTTGCATGCCTGCTATCCACAGCTTTTCTGTGGGTGGTCGACAAAATAAAGAAAGCACCAACCGCTTATTTATCGAATTGCTTCAGCTTTCAACTAAAGAAAGCATAATTCTTTCTTTTCTCTTTTTACTTTTGCTTTCTCTCTGTTCACTGTGTCTTCTTTTGAGAGTCATTGAAGTAAGCCGGAATAGTAACAACGACATTCTTCACAGATGAACCCAGATAGGCCTTCGCGATCTCATGCATCTTAATGAGAACCATGGAGGAAATTTCTTTAGCAGCGAACTGTTTTTCTTCGCCCTTGTGTGTGATAGTAATCATAGACTTGTCACCGGGTCCTGGAATGACCTTGACAGGCCATAGCTTCATGTCACTCTGGACAGAAGGGGCAGAGAACCAGACATTGGGGCAACACAAAATTGCTGCCTAGAATACACATAAAGTTGTCAGCACTTCTCCTTTCCATGCCTTATTTACCTTTTCTATAAACTCTTTTGCTCTCGTCCACAGCTCATTATCGGTGTCAGTTTCATCATTGTTGCTATCTCATTCGGTGCTGCTGAATCCACCATCATCAGCTGCTGCATTCTGTTCATTTGACACTAATTCACTGACCTGCATCAAGGCATTCTTCTCCTTCCACGCATGTTTCGCCCTCGTGCCTTGTTCATCATTCGCACTCTTGTTGGGGGCCGTTGTGACGTGAGTTATGCTCTATTCATCGTTGTTGGAGACGGGTCTCGATCCCACGAGGATAATGACTATGATCAAGTTGCAGAAGCAGAAGATGAACACAGAGTTGGAAGCTGCCTGAGTGATTAATTGTAGTGTAGAATCAAGCATTGTGAAAGATGAGAGAGAGAGAGAGTGAGAGAGATAGAGAGAGAGAGAGGTTTGGATCCGTGGGTCTTCTCGAACTTTTGGTTCTTCCGCTTCTCTCTGTACCTCAGCACCCTCGCCACGCGATCCGTGGACGAGAGCTGGACCGCCAGTTGCGATGTTTCCACAGCGACGGTTACCGCGTTGCCTTCTGGCACGACGCTGATGTCCATCGACGATGATGATACACTCTGGCTCAGACACTGAGCATGGTGGCAGCCGTACACGAAGGGCTTGGAGCAGGCGGAGAAGTCAAGTTCGAAGCTCTAGGTTAACCAGCAGAGGCTGCATATTCTGGCTCTGCACCGAAACGACGCCGTCCGCGCCGCAGCTGTTCTACTCCTCAGCTTCTTCAAGTTTCGGATCCACATGCCCGTAGTCCAAATCTAGATACGAATCCATTTCCTAAAACAAGTACTGCCCCGAGTTCAGATCTAGATTCTCTATCGCCTTGGGATTCTCCACTCACTCACTCGCACACAAAGACTCTCTGTGTGTGCTCTGTGTGTATTGTTTCTCTCTCTAGAGAGTAGAGAGATGGTGGAGTTTAGGAGTTATCCTGATGTGGTGGAGGAATAAAGGATGGGCACTGAGGTTTTGAGCTCTTGGGTTTTTGTAGATTCACGGTGGAGGTGAAAAAATGAAAGAGAACCGACATAACTTTTCGTATCGTTTCCCATAGACGGCACCAAATGTTGATGCACAAAACCGGAGGGGTCTTGGAACAACGTAAATCCGACCGTGAATCTGCAAGAAAGTAAAGAACACAAGATGTATCGTGGTTCACTCCAATGTTTGGGCTACGTCCACACTGATATTGTATTTCTCTGTTTGTGAGAGGATTGTGAGGGTGTGAAGGAGTGAGAGCTTGAGTTTTGTGAGGGTGAGAAGGCCCTTTTATAGAATAAGGTCTCATCACTTATTACATATTTGCCCCTTCATTTATTACATAATTACATTTGAGTCCCCTGAGTATTTATACGAGATCTAAATATGGAGGCCCTAAGTATGGTACAAACACCTTTTTTAGTTTTTTTTTATCAAGTCCCTTGACTTTTTTCCATGTCATTATTTGAATATTAAATTATTTACAAGTCATTATATGTCAATTTAAAAATGAAAAACTTATTAATCATTTTCAAATATATCTTTTTAGTAAATTTTGTATATATTGCTGTTTATAATTTGTATCTTTTTTTTTTTAATTTATACCAATATTCTTTTTAGTTTTTTTTATTTGTACCCATAATTTTGAATTTTAATATGTACCCATATTTTTTTGTGAATGTATCCATGCTAATTATATGTATATATTTTATGTTTTAATGTAACGACCCGTTCCTAAAAATTTCAGTTTTCATAATTTTAATAAGTGAATTTATGAAATGCCCTTCGAGGCAAAGTGTTGACTTTTGTTGATTGCCATGTCGTGTCACGTAAGACTCGTTTTCTTGGCATATCCTCCTAGTACTTGTCGCTACGAACGCATAGACGTAAATGGAATGTAATTTGGAGTTATAACGAAGGAGTTATTAATGATTGAAGTTGACGGCAAAATTGTAAAATTCTTATTTTCTGGAATGCTCCATATTTTTGGAGCATTATTTGGTTATGCCACGTGTGTGGCTGTGATGGGAAGGAAACGAGGATAATGAGGGATGCGGACTAATCAGTGAAAGGGGGAGAGAGAATGACCAATGAGAAGGCAGAACAAGGAGAGAAAGGAGGGAAGTGAGAAGCACCAAACATGAATTTTATTTCCCTTTGACCCATTTATCCCATTGGATCCAACCCGTGCCGTGGGTTTTCTGACACTTTCCCATCGATTTTTCGGTGATCCAAACCTTGTCACCACCTGCAAATTGGCCATCATCCTTCCCTCTTCCATTTTCACCCAAACTCTACTGAGTATAACCTTGATTTCATGAAGAACCGAAACCAAGGGAGTCGAGGGTGTTGCGAAGACTCTTGGCCAAAATCCTCCAAATCTAAAATGATTTCATTCAATTACCACCATCATTAGACTCATCTCAACCTCATGAACAAAGCCCAAGCAGTGGTGGAGGCGTCGGAGTGAGTATGGAGGTCAAATCGAAGCACATATTCTTTAGGGTTTCCGGCAGGTTTTCGTGAAATTAGGGCTTTTTTCCGGCCAAATTGGCCTTAGTCACAGGTATAAAAGTTACTCCACTCACTGAGATCTACTTTCCTCTAAAATTTGGGAATTTTTAGAAATAGTTGAATTTTCCAGCAAGTCGGGGTGGTCGACTGCCATCGGCGGCCACACATGCGGCGGCGCGTAGCCAGTGCACCGCCAATGCTATTTTACACTAAATCAATATATTGATCTCGTATTTGATATTTGTATGATGTGATTTGATTGGTGTGAATCTAGTTTGATTAAGGTGCGTTACTTGATAATTATATGAATCAACGATTTGACCATTGGATTGTCACCAAAAGTCTATACGTTATGGTACGTAATATTTGAGGATCATAGGAACTTACGGATCGGGAATCCGATGTACTTATCTTCCCATTGTAAGTTCATAGAATAAAACGTTAACTGCCACTTGAATTTGCAATTGGCGAAGATCCAACCGTTGGATTGTAATGAAATTTTAGGATGATCTTTTAGAAGCATAATGTGGATCTTTGGAAGTTAATGATAAAAATCTGAGATGCGGGTCTTCCGGATCGAGTTACGTAGGGTTGTGGACCCTACCGTCGATCTTTGATCAATGATTGACTTTTGGTCAATGGGTCTTAAATCATTCTAGAATGCCTTTAGGGATGTGTTTTACGCAAGTTACATGTTCTATTGATGAGAATTTTGAGATGTGATATGATAATTGTTCTAGGCGTCGATCGTTCGTGACGCCTCGATATTCGTCCTAGGGAGTTATAGCGCAGACTCTAGGTGTGCTTTTGGTTTTCTATATATATATATATATATACACACACAAACACACACATACATACACATGTTTTACAATTGCCTAGAAACTGATTTAAATGGAATTATATTTTAAGTGCCATGTCATACTTACATTTTATTTTAGTATATGCATTAGTATAGATATACATATTATTGCATAACGCTGCGGACGGCCAGGTAAGCTTCAAGTGAGTACATATTGGTGATAGTGATTTCAGTGTGTATGGTTATGTTTATATGCATTTAGTGCTCATTATCCTGCATCCCGATGTTAGTGCTCCGCCTGAGGCCAGAGCTTAGCCTTCACGTGATCGTTCACCTCCCGCACCACACGCTCACATTGGATCCAAGGCAGATGCCAGCCTGTTGTACAGACCACATTAGGTGGTTCCGACTCGTAGGTGACTTGCGATACTTCGCACAGCCTTCACGTGATCGTAGCACTTGAGCATATCTATTTACACTAAGCCTGTAATACAGACCACAACAGGTGGTTCTAACTCAGTGCATGAATTGGTTATGAGCTATAGGTTTAGCCGTACAAGTCACGTTAGGTGACTCCGACTGACATATCATTTTATATTGATTCACATCACCTGGTTTACATTTCTATTATTGAGATACTTGATATGGCACTTACCTTGATTTTCATTGCTCACGAACCTAATTTCTATATACGTATGTATTATTATTTTCTGGAAAATTATATACAGGTTTTACGGTGAGGGGTTATTATTTTTGGAAAGAGAAATGGTTTTAAAAAACTTTGTTTTTACCCACTCACGTTTTCTGTTTTGCACTCCTTCAGGTTTTGGTTGCTAAATGTTCGTATTGACAAGGATTCTTAGCGAATCTCAGTATAGATGGCTATCTTTGAGGGTATGTTCCTTACCCACATTACTGTACTTTACTTATGCTTTGACATCGCATGTGAAATGGGTTCATTCCCGCTCACAGCGCACTCTTGTCTTTAGACATTATTAGGTTTAAATTTATTCACATTTTCCACATCACTATACTTTATGGCTTTGTCACCTTCCAGATGTCGGCCATCACATCTTGATTCAGAGTCTTAGTAGATATTTTCGGGTCGGGGTGTGTCATTTAAAATATATCAATAGTTATTTCTTAAACTATATTAATAATTATGTGGGTGCATTATTTTTTTGTTAGAGCCATGTGGAGAACAACATTACTTTATTATTGATTTTCAAGTAATAATAATATACATATTGTAAAAATATTATTTGAATTTGTTTAAATTTCATAATTTGTGGGATATTAAATGAACAAATGCATGAGTTAAATTCCTTAAATGATGCTAGAGACCTCAATCAAACTATTTTAACAAATAAGGTTTCATTATAATAATTAGGTCGACTAGAGATTTGAACCAAAATTACCCTAAAAAAAATTATAGTTTTTTTAGAAAACTAGATATTAATTCTTGAAAAAGATTTAGTGTAGACAAATACCGTATGCAAGATTAACAATTGAATTAAGTCCCTGACCAACGTCAACCTACATAATTCCACATTAGTTGTCATTTTTCCTTTGTTATTCTTCCAATTATACCCTTTTGTGAATGTTTGTAATGAACTCTTTTTTTGTTAACAATCACATGACATAGTTTATTATAGCTTATTTTTAGGATGTATAGTTTTTTTTTTTTTTTTTATTCTCATTCAAATTTCAAACTGATTTTAGTTCATATTCAAGAAATTAGTAATTCATTTTCTAAAATTAAGAGGGCTATGTATATAGTATATTGTAAATTTGTAATGCCATCACTTTTTATTTTATTTATTTATTATTTTTTTCATGGGACCTAAGGTACGAATATTTAGGCACATTCGACTAGATACTATGATTTTGGTGCATTCATGTAGGTACTATGATTTAGGTGCATTCAAATAAACACTATGATTACATATTTAGGTGCATTCGACTAGATACTGTGATTTAGGTGCATTGTGGTAGGTACCATGGTTTAGGTGCATTTTGTGACGACCCGTCCCTAATTTTCTATGTAATTTCTTCCCGAGTGTGTAAATTGACATTTGTGCCCTTATTGGCAAAATGAAGTGGACGTGATTATGCAGCTTTATCCTAATTAAATTGTACTCGTTATTACGATCGTGTGAGCATGAATTAGACTTGAATCGGACTTGTAACGAAAAAGTTACGTTACATTAAAGTACATTAACAACGGGTAGAGCTGTACACGCGTGCGTT